AGTAATTGACCTAGGGGTACATTACTCACACAGTCTTAATTTCTCTGAACACATCTCAGCCAAAGCATCCAAAATGAGGAAATTGCTTGGCTTCATTCTCCGTAATTTCTATCAAAATGAATCTAAAATCCTTCTTTACAAAGTTTGTGTAAGACCTATCGTTGAATACTGCTCGTTCTTATTTTCCAACCTACGCCTATCTGATATACTAAAGGTGGAAGGAATACAACGAGACTTCACCCGCAAAGTACTTAAGACTGACTCGGTCATTGACTACAGTTCTCGATGCCAAATCTTAGGAATAGCACCCCTTTGGGAGAGAAGGCTTAGGTCTAATTTGATTCTCTACTTCAAACTACTCAAAAACCTTACTTATTCAACATGCAAGATAATTCTTGCCCGAGATTCACATGAATACGGACTTCGAAACAAAGTATCTACGGTCAAAGTTGAGAAATACAGATCAAAAACTCGGGAAAACTTCTTCCTCACCAAGTATGCAATAATATGGAACAGTCTTCCCTCCGAGACTCGCATGGCAGATGAACTACATACGTTTGTGAAACTGCTTGATCAAGCCCTCACTCGCACTGATCTTGCACGTACGAATACATCTGCGCCCCACTCATACATCATAGGCTCTCTCCATGTCTAGACCAAAATGGACCTCAAGTTCAGTTTGCCTTATTTTTCCTACTTTGCAGTTGTATTAATTACTTTCTCCACCCTATTTCTTCACTTGAAGTAGACAGGTAACTCACTGGACCTATCATTACTGTTAAACTAAACTCGGTCGATAAGGGACACTCACTACCACCCCAAAAAGTCAAGAGGACCGCACAATCGGCTGCCCACTACCAGTGGTCTTGCATCTATGGAACCTGTTACCAATCAACTGGTTAAGACAACAGAAAATAACATCAGCACCAAGTTACTGTGAGTTCCTTCCTGTTTATCCTGTATCAACATTTTACTCTTCTGTACACTATGTTGACTAGCAATTAATATTATTTCTCCACTCGTTCCCTTATCCACAACTCATACTTCTATACTCTTTCCGCCTGCTTAAATAAACAACTATCCTACAATATACCCTTCCTAACACTTATACTCTGATTGGCAAACTATACTTTAAACTATAGTCAACAGAGGCACTGCATCGATGCTTTACCCGCAGTCCATAGCTTGTAACTGCCTGATAAGCTTGTAAAATGGTACTTATAGAAATAGTGCTTTCCAACAGGTTGTGAAACAGAGGATTGTGTGAGGTATGACGTGTATACAAAAAATAAGCCTAAGTGAGCCTAACATCACAAAAGGAGGGAGGGTGGAGTTACTGACCAGCAAGCATTGATGGTGAGGGCGATAACTTCAATCCACCCGTGTTTGTGGGGACAGAACATTTTGTATGTACCAGGCTCTTTATAATTGAGAATAAGACAGTCAATCTGAGATATAGATTGTCTTCCTGCGCTCACCACTCAGACTCATGTTTCCAATATTATGCTGGATTAGCTATTCTACTAAGATAACCTATAACATGCTAACTCGGACTTTTACACTAGGATTGCGTGGCCGACATCGGATGGACAAAAAAAAAGAAAAAAGACAATAAAAGATATAGTCACTAGTATTCTTAACACTACACCCTCTATATACACACCCTTCTAATAAACCGCTTCCCTTGTACCAACCTTGACTTCCTTTCCTTCATGTGAGCTTACTCCAACTTGTTAAATATCACAACTCATTGTTCTTTATTAGTACATTCTCTAATATGGAGCCTCGGACTTCACTTCACTCTAACAATACAAAATATGAATTTATTCTGATTTATTCTACCTCTGTCCGTACTACTACACTATGTTAAGCAACCTTTGGCGTTCATATCCAAGTGCCTTGCTGCTCTTCTGTTTCTCTTTTTTTCTTTTTCAGAATCTTGCTCTGAGAGCACAGCTATGAAACTTCTGACGTTTGGAGAAAACCTGACGTACGCGTCCTCTCAAGGTCATAGTTTACAGCAAGCGCTCTACGATTTCACTTTATAACAACTATAAACTTAATAAGTTGGGAAGCATTTTGCGAACCAAAAAATGTTGTAATTTATAGATCATGCCTGTAAAAACGGTGTGTACCTGCACATGCAGAAATATATTATTATTATTATTACCACCTCAACTACTGTTAACTATTGTTAGGGTTCGTTTGGCGAGATGAGGTAATCAGTTCACGATGTGTTACAATAGAATGATGCATAGTTTGCCAATATCCGTTGATATATTCCGACTCCACAGATGATATCACAAAGGCAATGTGACCAGTTGGAGATGTTACTAAGCATGATTTTTTGCTTTATTCAGTGGTTGTCGTGCTAAAGTTTTTCATTTTCAGCCGAACAGTGAAATATTCTTAGTGAAGGGTTTTCGAAGCCACTGCCTTATTCTAGGTAATAAATTCCATCTTCCATCTATTCTTTTATTTTCATTATGCTCTTCATGTGGTGTAATTCACAATGCACTTTTCAGACCGAATTCGTCTGAATGACAATTAAAGGTATATTTCACGGGCTTTGTGAGTGCATATAAAACCACTTCTACAGGAAATTATGAAAAACGAACCATATGCCTTCAAAAAGAGTTCATTTGTGAGTACGACGAGTTAGAGGGCTTTTAGAGGTGTATATATTATTATCACCCCTAGATTGTGGGATCTGATAAAGAGACTGAATTTGTAATGTTTTTATCAACCTGTGAGCGTAAGCGTAAAAACAAAGTGACATTTGCGAAAGATTCTGTTTCATGAATGCCTACAGTAATGCCACGTTTTTGTAAGTCTGAAAAAAAAGATCTAGATTATGGAGATGAGATTTTCTGTCAGAACTTGCGATCAAGCAGTCTAGCACAATGTTCAGAACTCTATGTACATGTTATGACAAATCGCCGAAAAGTTTATGTAGCAGTTGTTAAACTGAAAGTAACGTACAAAAGTTCGTTGAGTCCGAAGAGGGTGATGACAACCTTTTTTAGAATATCGTCTACAGTCATAGTAAGTTGATTAAATAATTTAAGTCAGTTAATTTTCAAAAAAAAACAGTTATACCTTTTAAGGTGGCTGTCGAAACATGAATGTGCAGCAAGAAGTGACAATCAGGAGAATTTTACTTATTCAGCCAGTGACAGTAACCAGTTGGATGTCAATCGTCGCTGTCTAGGTTAGAGATCATGTACAAAGGAGATGCCCGTAGCCTATTCGATAGAAAGATGATTCCAAAGCCTGTCTGGCATTAGCTTTCAATAATGTCAACTTTTCGTCAGCCAGTGGATATATGTTCGCAAATATGGGTGGTCATGCAGAAGTGATATGGTGTGTAACAATTTCGGTCGCACTCTGTGGCGACGCGTACTCGTTGAAAGCATCTATTGATTGTATACTTAACTGTGCATAACGTACGACCATAAAGTGGAATTCCACGAAAAGATAATTCAGTATTTCTGTCTGTTTTACTTCCGTTTCCTCGGGTCGATGAATAGATTTTGGTGATGTAGTTGGTCTATGCCAATCATCAGCATAGAAACAACTGCAACAGAGAGAACCCAATGAATGGGCTTGCTTAAAATCACATCACGATTAATATATCTCTTAACGTGTGTAGCCACCGGTTTTCCGTTTGCCACTTGTAAGTTGAAGACCGGTCTATGCAGACAGTCGTTAGAATTAGCGGAGAGGATGCTAACTGCCGCGTAAGTGTCAACGAGGTAGCTAAATTTCGTCGTCACAACAATGATGTATAGCAGACGGATACATCTACTGGTTGCGGTCGCAATTAACTCGTGTCGTCGATAAGTTTTCACGTCAGACGTCTGGGATCTTGAAAAACTCCAGGGTTTTCCCCGGATTCTAAAATAAGTATGATGTAGCGGAAATACTCATCATTACACTATCGAGGAGCACACAAACGCGCGGTACTGCAAAGAATTTTGCACGTAAGTCTATAGCCCCGTATTAGTGGAAGCCAGCTTCTGCATAGCAAAACTGTGCTTCGACGTTATCGGGACAGAATGGACTGAGTTGGAAGGTGAGGGCGTTAGGGATTTACAAAACTATTTATTTGGGGAATTAATTTACCGCCACAGGTACGTCAAATTATGTTCCAACTGCTTCTAATTCATTCATCTCATGAGTCCGGGAAATAGGATTTTGAATTAAAAGTTTTGATCCTTTGCTAATGAAATTTTCCGGAATCTCTCAAGGCTCTCTATAGTCTATAGATGTTCAGTAGATTTTCACAAGGAATTATTGAAAGGCTCAATGGCTGTTTGATGATTACCATAATGACAACTCATTCACTGAAGAATTCAACAACCTTGAGGGTGCTCAAACACAAAAAACTAAGTCAGCTAGTAAAAATACGTGGTACTTACTGTTTTGAAACCACGTACGTTAGATATAGACACAAACTACATTGATGTTCTTCCTGCGATTTAATGCATGGTGTCTCACAGGAACGATCGGGTACATTCGAGATGATATGTTTGTTCATCATGAGGTGCTCAGAAGTGACAATTTTTCACTGTGATATGGTACTGTCAATCACAACTGTAAAAACTAAGAAGCAGAAAATGAATTACCTCAGTAACACAGACTACAGTATTCGTGATAGATTGGCAGATATCTGCAACTTAGTAGTAGAACGAAACGGCCGTCCAGTGCTTCCGGGTTTTCCGAGGTGGTCTAGCTTCAACTGACTCATGATCCTAACCACTGAAACTACTACGATATCCACAAAACCCATCTAGAATTTATCAGTATCCGATCTTACTGGTTACTGATGTTTTCACTCATCAAATGTTTTTAAATAAAATGAGTTTTTAAGATACTGAGTGTTTCATAAAAACGTTTTTAAGACTTTCATGTATTTGTTTTACTTCATCAACACTAGAGGTACATAGCCTTCGGTACCACCAGTGTGAACTAATTCGACATCTTGACAACATGACAACATGAGTAAATATCTTTCTATATCAGAAGAGTGGGTAAAAGAGAAAGTCAAAATTTGCGGTGAAAATCTAGGTACGTGACTTTTAACCTGTTTATTTCCATAGAGGACATAAAAACATTAATACTACAAGGAAATTATGAGGAAAAAATTAGCTGCCTTGGGACTTCGTTATTGCATTTCTCAAGGTTAAAAATTTTGGATCTATCAAGAAACGTATTGAAATCTATCAGAGTAATATTTTCTATACTTGTCACTTCTACAAACAGGGTATCGAACACATTAGGACTTTGGAAGTATTAAACCTATATTACAATTGTATAGAAGAGATAAATGAACTTCGAGTTCTATCTTTCAACCAAAATATCAGAGATTTGGACCTCAGGCTGAATCCGGTTTCGCGTATAAACTCCGATTACAGGCTTTATCTCACGTACATCCTTCCCAAACTAAAAACGCTTGGTGGGTAGGAAGTATTTTGAAATATTTTTCAGTTTTCTATTAAAAGTTATGTCTAAAAGTAGAACACTTCTTTCTTAACATAGTGTTTTTCACTGGTATTTTGTGATTCAACAGTTAAATAGACATATTCATTTGTCCATGATTTTTCACACTGATCGTCTAATAAATGTAAAAACTGTAGGTCTAGTAATTTCTTCTGCCATTTGTTTGACGTAAGTTTTCATTATATAGCTGTTGTTTGTATAGTTAAAGCCTTGTACTCGCAAATACGAATCTGTCAACGAGATATTTGCTCGTCAAAGCGTTAACTGAGTGTATCTACACGTCTTTTTTCCTTAAGTTTGTTGGAAATCTAAACGCGTCAAAAGTGCGTGCTACCAAAAACTATTAAGTATTGATGCATAGTGTACGCAAATTTACTGTCCGTTTAATTTTCTCCAATGTGGAGGGTTGTATAATTCGGGAAACCTTTAATAGTATAATAATTTAAACGTCCATAAAATAAACATTTAGATCTCGAGGGTCACAATTCAGTTTTTAGAACAGCAAGTAAATTAAATTCCTAATTGTCGACCGATAATTGTTTGAACATTATTTTGTTTGAAAGGTATCTTCGCTGCTACTTTTTAAGATAGTAGTAAGTAGTTCAATCAGCTTGAATTATTCCTATTAACCTTAGGAACAGTTATTGCTATTAATTTTACGTGAAGACTTATCAGTAAAAAGCGTATAAATCACTCAGCCGTAAATGTCCAATTTCCATCAATATTTACTTTAGTGAAGTGAATCATGTTCAAATACGTTCTAGTTAGACTTATTTGTCAACTATGGTCATTAAAATTTAATAGTCTTTTACACTTTATCCTGCTCAAACCTTTAAATGAGTGATCTATAAACTCAATTTGGTAGCCTCGTAACTTTGAGCCATCAGGGTCACTACGATTTCGGTTATTTTCAGCCTTTTACCAGTCAATATTTGTTTTTTTTAGTCATTATAAATTGTTTCTACAGCAATGGTGGTAGAAAATTGCCTCATATTATCATCTTTAGCTGACTTACTAATTTTTCAAGGCTTTCTATTTATACACACATAGCCTTTCATTGTTAATATTCATATTACGTAATCCAGTATTACAATCTTTCTATTACATCATCATGTTTAATACTTGTTAATATGTCATCAAGGAACTAATACTTTACTAATAATAAGTTCGTTGAAAGGAGATCTCTTCACTGAAGGTTGTATTTTAAATATTTAAACGAGAATTATATGTCGGTTTAACATTAAATATAATGTATCACATTATCATGTGATTTGGTTTAATGACGCAACTGAACTAAAACATCTAAATGGTTTTACTAGCTAGCTTGAAGCTATAATGTTGTTTGAGTTGGTACATTGATATCAGTAGTGGCACTAAATGCTTTAGAGCCATCAATAGTCATTTATTAGAAGCAAATATATCAACAAATTTTTCAGTAGTCAAGTACATAACATATATATGACTTGAAACTTATATTTTTATCCCTTTAGATTGTCGTATGCTGAGAGATGCGGAAAGGAAAGCAGCCATTTCTTTCTTTGGAACTGACTCTACAGTTGATATCTGTCCTTTGTCCATGTTAAGGAAACTTGATGATATGAGATCACCTAAAGCCAGTAAAGCTAGACTTGATCATAGTCCGCACTTTATTGAAAACACAGATCGCCCATTAAAATGTTACCAAAATCATAATAAATCTTCACTAAATCTGGATATATGGCCATGTGATGGTTATACTACTTTGAATAATCCACTAGTTTACGACGTGGAGGCTTACGATTTATCAACTAGATCGCAAGATCCATGGACAAATAATATTTTACGTGCTGATTCAAAACCCAGATTAATGCTATCACCGCTTGATCCTCCCAGAGGTATCAAACATGCTGAGTTCTACAATTGTAAAGGTAATAGTCTGTTTGTATTATTTGTGTTGTAATTAAAGCTTGCAAGTGTTTATCAGTAATTTTTTATCCATCTCCTCGTTGTAGTCATAATGTGTTCAAAGCTACTCAAGAAACAAGATTAAACCAGTAATACACTGTTTTATATAACTACTTGATTTTTCATGTGGATTTTTCAGGCAGATTTTTAAAAGTAAATAATCAACCACGGTGAGTTCTTGATGATTACTTAAAGAGATTCTTCGTAAATGTGTCAAGTTCTATCCGTTTTTAGTGTGATTTTTAAGTAAACAGTGAGGAACTTTGACGAACTTACATTAAAAACAGCTAACATAAATATCAGAACCAAAACAAATTTGTTTTGTTCTTGTTACATAGTAAAGCTTTGTATCAATGAATACTTGCCAAATAAAAAAGGACAGAAAAATAGATATATGAAAATAGTAGCGCTGGATACAAGACTAAAAATTCTCTGGTTGATTAAGTATACCAAATATTTGTTTCACATGAGGTTAGTCTATGATCATTAGGCGGTTGATATTTTCAACTTTTTACTTTAGTATACTCATTCTATAGTGATGAAATTATTTTTCACTTCTGATTTCTAGTTACAGCACCTGTAGCTGAATATAGTGGAGAACTAATATATTTTGAAGGAAAAAACATCTAACTACACAGTATTGCATTCAATTAGAGCCTTCTAAGGCTTTCCTTTAGTAAACTGTTATATTTATGTGCTCATACATACGATCCATTAACTCGGCCACAACTATTAAAAGAAGTTGGAGCACGCAATAAACAAATACATTAAATGTGCACTTGTTAGAGGGCACTTATCGTCAAAGTGTTCAAATAAAAACTGCAGAAATAAATAAAATGAGTAAGCATATCGTGAAGACGTCAATAGCTAAACAAAGGATAGAAGTACAAAAAGTTAGTTCTGATTCTAAGACTAAATTTGATGGCTCAAACCGTTATAATTTTGGATGTGTGTAATGTAAGGTTTGGAAACTTGGTCACTATTGAATGAGAAGAACGAAACGACTCTGTCCAATGAATTTGTTTGACCAATTTTGAAATACAGAGGCAGGTGCTTACTAATTAACTAGCTAACTTATCTGCTACTGCTCTAGATAGTCACATCAACAGGGAAATAGAATGGAAAAATGCTCGTCAACTTGGAAAAACCATTTAATTTATAATTTATATGAGCAGCTACAAAAAAACATAAAATATTTTATAACTGGTCTACTTGATTGACTGGTATAATTCAATAAACATTCGATAATCAAAGAATACTAGAAAGACAATTTGCTTCGTTATGTGACTCATTAACGGTATGTATATAAAATATCACTTAGGTGAGAATCCAGAACCTATATTATCTCCCAGCGAACTAATTAGATTACTACTTTGAATCTCCGATTTCTTTTTTTTGTGAAATAATGTCACAATCATTAAATCCCACTCGTAGATGGATAAAGACTTTTCTCTAACCAAACAGGAATGCATTTCGCTGCCCACAAAACTGAAACGAATCTTTATGACTGAAAAGGTCTAAATTACAAACTTATCTTGTCTAGATCACCACCGAAAACTTGGGAAAATTGGACGATTGTTTCGTCCAGGTGTAGGACTTCTCACCGGTGCGCATCTTCGACCCTGCACCGGTAACCATACACAGAACTTTCATTCTAGCATGCGAATGTCTAAACTCCAAATCTCTGAGCTTTCATCTGACGGTGTTGGTGTCCAACACTAACACGATATTGCACAACATTTTTTCGTTGTGTGTGGTGAATAAATGTCTCACACTCGATATGGTTGGATTTCAGTGGTCTCAGTTAATACGAAAAATAAAAACCAAACAAGTAGAGTAGTGAGTTTGTGTAGATTGTTGAACTTTATAGTTTGTAACACGAGCTGTCCATGATTAGCCAGCCACTAAAAGCAAGGATAGAAGTTTCGTCCAACCATGCGACTCTCTAGAGCTGAAAGTTTTGTACTCAACCCTTTGAGAAGAGATATGGATGATTAATGTTGAGAAGTTTTATACTAAGACGAAATAGCTGTCTTGTGCTCCCTAGTTTTCAGTAGTTCTCTGACTAAAGTCAGTTCGTGATGAAAACATAAATATTTTCGAAGAAAAGCCTATGATGAACAAAACATTCCCTTATAACGTAATCTAATTTCTTTTAATGTTAGCATGTTACTTTAACTGACGTTATGATTCATTTTCTAAATCAATAGGTTAGTTAGTTGAGTTGAACAAACACCGTAGGCTTATTCATTTTGTTTGTTTATCTATTTCTTGTATTCTTTTATTGAAAAACAGAAAACTAAATGGCATCCATAATGCTTTAAAACACAGTTTTCATTAGAAATAAATTTTTACTGTTTACATGATATTGCCTAGTAATGCTGAATTATTTTATTCTAATGCCGGAAATATATATATATATATATATATATATATATATATATATATATATATACTGGAATAAATTAAATTACTCAATCAATTAATAAAGTTTATTTGTTGCTTAATCAGAATTTCAAGATGACTCATTTAATCTTAAATCTATAGTAGGAGAGGAAGAACTTTATAGAAATTTTACGTAAATAAGTTTTTCTGTCTACTAACACCCTACTTCCATCCCAGCATTGTACAGTTAACAATACGCTACGTTTATGGACCATGCATCCAGGATTTAGATCCTGAAGTTCATTGTTAAGCACACTCCAACTATTTTGAGACTTGCAACTAAAGAGTAATATCAAGTCAATTCACTACGAATAAACGTAGGTCAATATCCACTGATCTAATACACTCTTCAATGTTAACAATATGAACTATTCAAGTCCATTCATATATTTGAAATTGAGTTTTACAATAATGTTGAATAATCCACAACTTGTATCCGAGATGATAAGAAACGTTTTAAATTGTTGATAAAAATCTCCACTGATTAAGTCTAATATCCTTTAAGATAAGACATGAGTTGTTTGCTAATTTTTATCGATGTTATCACTTGTTCTTACAGATGTTATTGGTTCACTGTCGAGATATATTATCAAAATTGTGTACATTAGCTTACTGTAATTACTGTGATTAAAATCACGGATTTGTCTTAAAATGTGTTAGAATTCAGAATTCAGAGAAAGACGTACTAAATAACTAAATTACATAGTTCATATGACTGATCGACTTTAGTTAGACAACCAGTAAAAACCAAAGAGTATAAAAAGGCTATTATGAGACTCCTTAACAGTGTACATTCATGACTATATGGTAGGATGAAATGGCTGTCTAGTTCTTCATAGTTTTCAATAAGAAGGTTAGTTCATGATATAAATACTTCGAATTCCAACAATCTTCACAAACGCCTCACATTAAAAAAGTAAATAAAAATAAATTTTATGATACAATTGTATGGTTTATTCGATTAGTTAAGTCTTCGAATACTCACAAATTGGTGATATTTCCTTTTAAGTATGTATAGAAAACAGTGTGCATTATTAAATTTTATAAAGTGAATATCTGTCTATATCCATTATTTTAATGATTTTCTCTTTGGATACTTTTCTTGTTAACAAGTAAGTTAATAATAATTTTATTTCCTTTTAAAAAACATTTCTAATTGAATCCTTTTGTCCGACGTTGTTTTAAGGGATTAATCCTACTTATAGGTATTTTCTACAAAATTTTCGATCACTAATATCGCGCCTACTGAAATACCGATGTTTAATCTTTTTTTCGTTCATATAGAGAGACTACAAACAGAATTAGAATTTTCTGTACCCGGAAGAAAAGATAATGTTGATGAAAATGGACCGATTATTGACAAAAATGGCCATCAATCTCATAAGGTCAGTCACACTATACTTTGTTTCCATCAATTCTTGAACTGACATTGTATTATGTTGTTAATTGGTTGGAAGTAATTGATAGAGAGAGTTTCATACTACTTAGAACTCATCAGTAAGACATACCCGTTACCGTGAGGGAACTGGTACTGATCATGTATTTCAAAAAGCGTCGTCCAGCTTCGTAATCTGAAGTGTTATCACTGAACGTTTCGAGACGTGGTTGGCCTTCCATATTGCTTGCTTCAAACGCCATAACGTTATTCACGAGATTGTGGCTATATGGAAACAGTAGCTAACTAGATAATGTGATGGCGTTTGAGACGAGCGATACTGAATGGGAGTCCCGGAGTGGACCGTAACTCTGGGATACAAGCGAATCCAGGCGACGAGTCCGAGGCAAGATGAAACGCCTATTCTGAGTTTTACTGCTAGCTACCTTTCATTTCTTCCTGTAGTGCTTGTGACTTAATGGCACCATTGAGGCGATTCGCACAGGATACCTACATGCCGAAATAGGTTGATCAAATGAAAACCTAAATATCTATCGAAAGATTCAAACAACCAATATATATGAATTAGGACCTGATTATCGTATTTAATTCACGAATATGATATAAGTCGTATTGATTGCTTATTTCGCGATCGATTTATTTGATAATAATATTATCGTTACACTATTAGTAATAAGAAAGCTGTGATTTCTCAGAACATTTTGTTGCGTGAATATCAAAGATTTCTAGTAAAATTATCAACTCACTCATTTAATGTGACCATATTCTTGAAATAAAGTAAACTAATTAAGATTATAAGCAAAGATGGATAATGTCTAGCAGTGGAATCCAGGACGGACGTTTTGTCCTGTCAGCTGGATGTACCTGCATCTGAGTTGATGTCCACTCTGGGACTCGAACCCAGTACCGTTCGCTTCAAACGCTATCGCATTACCCACTTAGCTATTGAGTCCTGATAGCCACTTGCTTGTGCAATGGGGTGAAGTTTAATTCATTTGGTATTGTTTTACTTGAATAAGAGACTGATCAATTGCAGTCCTAAACATAAATGGGAAGATTCAAATAAAACAATACCAAGTGAATTAATTAGGATTAGTTTATTTGAATGTTCGTCATAATTGGGACGACCAGCTTGAAAAAACGTAAATGCAAATTATACTAAAGATATTATGTATAAAAATTATATTTTAAATAGTCTCGAATACTTCAATTTTACTAATTTCAACATCTCTGAAGAAGCTCGGGAAATTTTGCCGGGCGAAACGTTGAATATATCTGGATTTTTGTTGCTACGACTATTTTATATATAATTTTTGCATTTAATGATCAAGATTGGGTTGGATAAACTTCAGATTTATACTGTCTATGATTTAACCAAAAGCGAAGGAAGGTAGTCATAGTAGACTCAGCTTCTAATGTCTATATACGTATAATAATAAATAATTCACATGACCTTAGTTGAATAATTAGGTTACTTTCACTTAAACCTAGTCATATCTTCTGTATTTCATGTTTTACAGGAATCCAGTGAACGATGTTTAACCGTTGTCCCTTCAGATGTTAAATTAGGAAATGGTGAGTTCAGAACAGAAAAGTAATGCTTCATTGATTCATTAATCGTTTTTCTAATTTTCACAAGGTATAAGTGTAATATTTGTCATCTACCTAAATTATATTCTACATTTTGTAATATCTCATTTAAACCTTTAGAATACTGTAGTATTTTCCGGAATTTAGCACTGAAATATTTGACTATGATAATACTAATAATTATATTTAGTATCAAAGATATGCATTGTATGAAAAAATTACCAGCTCTACAGATTGAATCCCCCAATAAATTTTCATTGTGTCAAATTGTAATTGAGACTATTCAAAGAAATTTAAGACATCTTTACAACAGCGATCAACAGCCGTTTATCTTGAACTTCAAACTTTACGAACCACTCGTTTTCTTGGGAGAGGGAGGTTTTTTACGAGTATTATGAATAGGTCATACTTGATGATAATAATACTGATGGATTACATGCTTAATTTCAAAATATCTGTTTAAAACTTTGTTTTGAAGTCAAATAGTTCATAAAGCGACTAAACGACATCAAAATCCTTCATAAAAAAGTATGGTCTATTCTTAAGAGACTAATTAATAATAAAGCAATATGTTAAAGAAGTAAAGGAAGTAAACAAGTATTAATAAATCGCAAAACGTCAAGGAATATATTTATGGTCGGGAACGTTTCTTATGTTCGTAAACCTGATCAAAGATGACTATCTGATGGAAACATTTACGTCTAGTTCTGAAAAATATAATTGCTTCCTGCTGGTTTAGTGCTCATGATCGCTAGCTAAGCGTTACATGTTTATCGAGGCCAATGTTTCATGCACTATATTTGTCAAACTGATTTTTCTGAAGTTATTCCAAGAAATATAACGTCTTTTCTTAAGAACTGAGTGTTGTTTGTTAAGTCTGAACACCAAAGATAAGTGATAAAAACTTCCTATTTGTTTACTAAGCTCATGCTACTTTATAAATCTTGAGCTGTAAATAAATCAGATAACAATTACACGAGTGAAGATATACTTCAAAATATATTCTGTTACATAAATCAGAGATCATGTACCTTGAAGTTCTGGAAACCTCTAGAATAAATATGAATACATATGTTTCTTGGATTTACGAGACAACACTAGTTGCTTAAATATAGTTCAGACATTAGTGAAGGACTACTTTGAATGTTTATCTTTTTTACAGGTCCACGTATACCACCTAGAGGAAAACGTTTCACTCCATCTTCTATACTCTCTAATCCAAATGTCAAAAAAACTTCAGTAGAACAGGATAAAAGTGAATATATTTCTGAACTCAGTAAACATACCGAATCTTCATGGATGAGGAATGACTATATAGACAGTTATTCAAATGAAAAGATAGATAATGCATTTTTTCTAATAATGAAAGTAAGAATTATTTAATTAAAATTATTGTTTATTTAATGCATCAAATTTTTATGCCTACATACGAGTTCAAAGCAAATTATACATCTCAAGAAAATGTAGAATTAAATGAATACAGTAAAATTAGCTCATTTAAAAAGATAAGATAGAATACTATGCAGTAAATAGCTATTACGAAGTAGAATAAGTCGCATTCCACTCTATGCCCTCCCTCATTTCGAATCAAAGTATAATTATTGTTCATACTGTTTTCGTTGCTAATTTGTCATATTAACTTTTCGTCTTATGTAGTTTTGGTTTTGGAGTTAGCAGCTTTTTGCTTTATTGTGTAATTATATTGCCTTTGTAAATATGATTTCTTCACCTGTCAGTCTACCGACAATTTTTGTCACATCCTGATTTAAATAAATCTAAATTTTATATCTTCTCACTTGGTATTTTATGTCATGAACTTGTTTCAGTCAGACAACCATCGATAAGTAAGAAGAACCAGTGAGGTCGTTAGTACAAACTGCTCTCGAGTTTCACCCTAAAATGAAACAACCAGTATCCTACTTGGTTTTCATTAGTCGTCAGATAAAATTCGATTCGTAATTCAAACGTCAAACTTCTCTAAGCGTTATTCTTTATTCAACACTTATCAAAATGTCAGGGAGACTATAATTTTTGGACGACCCTTGAGGAACGCTAAAATGAACTTGGAATGTCCACCTACCTACTAGGGTTAAATGAGGAGTATGGATTAGTGTGAGGAATTATACTTAGGATTTACAGTTGGATGTTAGATTTGTTGGTTTTATCACGAACTGATATCAGCTATAATACCAAAATAACATTTAACAAAATGAGTGAATGAATTCTGCGCCAAAATTCAAGACCTGATATCTTATATATGACTGTTTCGTCCATAGATTATAGCCTCGCCAAAGTATCTTTTGCACTGGACTGGCACCAGATGTAACTTTTTGCTGTAATCATCTGATCACTGCGTTAGTTTTCGTCATTTAATTTAATTTCTGCTATCAAGACAAAACTGGATAAACCTTTAGTGCATTAGACAAATGCTTTTCATTTCCAAAGGATCTTCATCAATAATTTAAAACCTGAACGAAAATCGGTATGTTGTCAATAAACAACAAACAAAATATACTTTACAAATCCAATCATAAAATACACATTATACGCTTAACAAACTAATGTATTCAAATAAATATTAAAACAAGCTAGCGATCACAGTCGGAATGTATTCAAAAATGGGAATTAGAACAACACATATAAGCGAACAATTGTTTTCAAGTAGATCGTCATCAGGCTTTACTCTAATATACATGAATATTTATACGAAAATTTTAAACCAATCAAGGCAATATGAGTCAATAATCACAATGAAATAGAATAAGTCACTACACATAATAGGTAAAAGTACAAGTTGATAGTACGAAGACAGGTGAACAGATAGTGGTAAGAATGATAAACTACAATAACAAAACTCTTATCAATAGTTAATCGTTGGAAATAGAAGGTCAAATAAACATGGGTAAATAGACTAGGAATAGTAATCACAAAACCTTAAAAATCATTACGTAATAAGATGTGTGTAAATAATTAGATAGTGAAGAATACAAAGAGGCGGATAATGACAAACAAATAATGGATGTGGAAATAAGGTTAACAATAACACAGATAGAATAAAATAAATAATGATAATAATAAAATTTGAAATAAAAATAAAAAATTGTTAGTTAAGTTATAACTGGCCATGGAAGGGATAGGGGAGTCACGTATTTCTTCTGTACACATAGATTGGGGTTATATGTACGAATTCCAATGGCTTCAGCTATATATAGGAGACGGGAACGGACTCCGTCGGGAAATGATGGAGGTATACGATAGATAACTCGAAATGATTTCGATTTCTCTACTGCATGACCGCTATCAATGAGATGTGCTAGTATAGAACTGCGAATAGTTTTTCTCTGACCCTTTATGTACCAAGTTGGTAGATGTTCACTCATTCGTTGGTTAAGTTGCCTGGTAGTACGCCCTACATAGCTATCTCCACAGGAGCAGCTGACTCCCCTATCCCTTCCATGGCCAGTTATAACTTAACTAACAATTTTTTATTTTTATTTCAAATTTTATTATTATCATTATTTATTTTATTCTATCTGTGTTATTGTTAACCTTATTTCCACATCCATTATTTGTTTGTCATTATCCGCCTCTTTGTATTCTTCACTATCTAATTATTTACACACATCTTATTACGTAATGATTTTTAAGGTTTTGTGATTACTATTCCTAGTCTATTTACCCATGTTTATTTGACCTTCTATTTCCAACGATTAACTATTGATAAGAGTTTTGTTATTGTAGTTTATCATTCTTACCACTATCTGTTCACCTGTCTTCGTACTATCAACTTGTACTTTTACCTATTATGTGTAGTGACTTATTCTATTTCATTGTGATTATTGACTCATATTGCCTTGATTGGTTTAAAATTTTCGTATAAATATTCATGTATATTAGAGTAAAGCCTGATGACGATCTACTTGAAAACAATTGTTCGCTTATATGTGTTGTTCTAATTTTCACAATGGGAATCTTTAATATTCAAAAATGGGAATGTGATATAAGTTTACTGGAGAATAAAGGATGAAGGTCGTAAAATATGGTGAAAAGCTTTCAACTTCAATTTGACAAATACAACTAGTATGATACACTATAAATAATAAGGTCTCTACAGACAACAATGACAAATAGATAACAAACACAAAGAAAAGCAGGGTGAATTCCTACTTCGGGACTATTTTTTTAAGTGTCTTTTTTTCTATTCAATTTGTATGTGTAATTTAATTAAGTGAATTTATAAATTGTTTGATTGAGAGATTTGTAAATATTAGTTGAAATCGGAATTGACTACCACTAGGAATTGATATAAAATAGATAATTGGTGGAATATACCAGGCGCTAAACTACTGCCTTATATCTGACTTTTCAAAACGTATACCCATGATGCCACCAAGATACTCACAGTGAACTTTCTGAACTCGTCGCATATCTATAGACCGCTGAATTAGAATCCAGCGATCCAGATTCCTATCTTTAACCGATTCATGGATTATTATGATAATAATCCAATGTGACTGGTATGCGAGTAAATGTTTCAGATCCGATACGGTTGAACTGTATAAGTCATGTTTACTCATGGAACATTTGTCAGGGTTGGCATGCAAATATGCTGACAGAGATTGATGGATTGCAATCGTAAACATAAATAACCGAAAATTACAGATCCTTAGAAAAAAAGCATACCCATTGCACAAAGCGTTGGTTATCAGGACTCAATAGAACTCAGGATAACGTGTCGAGATTTGAGGCGTATGGTGCTGGACTCGAGTTTCATCGTAAATACCAACATTGGGATCCGACTACATCCGTTAAAAATGTCAAAATAAGACAAAATGTTTGATATGGATTTTATTCCTGGTCAACTTCAGTAAAAATAAAAAGTTCTTCAGTAATGCTTATCAATAAACTAGATTAATAAAATGTTTACTAGCTGTTTATGTTCAAACAAAACGTTTAGTTTATTCCACTACGAGATTTTTTTAATCTGTAAATACTTCTACATGATTGCATTGTTATGTTGATTAAAACCTTATTTCCGCAAGACTATTATAAATCCGTTAACAAAATAATGTATGATAATACTAATCCCGGTCATGTTTTGTTTTATCCATCTACATTGTTTTACTAGGAATAATCTGCATTGTTGTTTGTCTACTGTCAACTATCACAGTGTATTTATTGGGCATCAGTAAATACATGTATATATAGTATTTTTAAAATCGTCACAAACAATGAAAACATTTGTAAAATTTAATTTTAAAACCTGAAGGAACTCAAAAATAATTGGATTGTTTTCTTAGTTTACAAATACGAACACATAAAAGAAATCTATTTATATGTCTGTCGTAAATAACCATGTTCTTCAGAAAGAGATATGACTTGATTGGAATCATTGGATAAATTATTAATGAATTTTCATCATTCTTCCCCCCCCCCGCGGTTATTTTTCACTTGTTTTAATGTAGTTGTTGAAATCTTGTGTAAGTTGTTTAATGCTAATCTCAGATCTTAGTGATTTTATAATTGAAAATAGATAAAATTGGTTTTTATCTGTGAATCAAGTTATCACATTGAATCCTGTGAGAATATACCTTAACAGATCCAACTGCTGCACACCATGAATCGTCATTTGTTTAATTTAATGAAATATTTATAAAAATATGATTCTTTTATTTTAAAAGGTAACAATGATCTTTCAACACAGTAAATGTATTTCTCATAATGTAAGTATTTAAAACTAGGATAGAATAAGGATTTAAAATGTATCTGTCATGTCATATAGTAATATTCTGTGACTTTTGACAATTTGAAAGTCAACGTTCAACGATTCCACAGATTGTTGTCGGTATAAGATTGTGAAGATTGTTTAGTTTCACTGAAATCATGGACCAACCAATATTAGACAATCATTGAAAACCTGAAAGCACTGAACTACTGTTTCGTCCTGATATGGGACTACACAGCACTGTGCATCCACGATCCCGCACGCAGAATTCGTACCCAGCACCATCGGCATCGCGCGCGAACGCTTAAACTCTAGACCACTGAGCCGACATCCATCGTCGTCAATGCTTAAATTCAGCCAATCCACGATAGTGAGCGACCATCTTCCAATGTCTTCGGTGGGTAACTGCCTCACACCTGACACGGATCAAATCAACTGTTCATGGATTCTCACTGGGGATTTTCTCTCTTTAAAAAGTAAAAATGTCTGAACAGAGTGGGCTCCAAACATAAATGATCGCTAGTCAAATGTGGGAGTAAACCTTTTTTGAGTCTACCCATTTGTATGTAAGTCCATGATATTGTTTGTTTCTTCAAGATAGTTATCAGTCCACTACATGACTTTTGAATGTAATGTCTAGTTGTTCACTACGTTCACTTGTCCAGAAAATCACAGCTTAATATCATTTTGGTTATCAATATGAAATGAATCAATTTATTCAGTATTCTCTAGTTCATATTGATTCTCTGGTTGTTATCATTTTGTGGTGAAAATCAGCTTTAGTCACTCTGTCTAATTCTTCTGCTATGAAATGGTAAATACTTATCTTTCTATGGTTCACAGAAATATATTGACCTAGAATGTTGAAATGTGCACTATAAGTTACTAATAATAATAATCTCTTAATCTATGTCACTAGAACAAAGTTACAAAACATATTGTATTCGCTCAAACAAAGTAATAAGATCTGAGGAAACTCCGGAAGTTAACGAGACAGTCATTGCAATCTCACAAAATCCCAACTAAGCAATACAATTATTTTATATAAATAATTGTGGATGACCCTAATATATATGAAAAATAACGACATGCTAAACGATTAAGTAACCAATGAGTTGGCAAAAAACATAATTGAGGAAGATCTGGATTTCTGAGTCATCAGAAACTTATGAAGCACAAACATCGGGATTTCAATCATGCATGGAAAATCAAAAACCTGAGCGCCGTCCTAGCTTCTTAACCAGCCTTCTAATTGATTGTTTCTTTCTGATTTTACTCCGGACAGCGTTATTCAACTGAAAAGCACTTTACTAAGGATATTTCATTTAAGGTAACAATCTAGTATCATATAAAACCATAAATAATTGATGGAAAATTATTGTAACATAGGAGCATGTGAGAAATCAGACTTCGCGCTCAAAACTATTTCGGTCATTTTAACTGAAAATGCTTTGATTGATCAAAATTTCAAGTGTAAAAAAGTAGAATATACCAGCGATTAAAACTATCTTAATAATACAAAATGAATGATTCTAATGTACTTAAATGTCAACGTTACGTTAATTATAGCCTATAGTCTTTACATTGTAACCGATGTGTAAGATAACTGAGTGTATCCCAATAAAATGTGTATGTACCTATGACCAACAATTAAACATGATGTTACCATCTTCTGGTGGTCGACTGGGTTATGAAGACCTCAACATCCTAATGGAAACACGGAAAACAACGGACAGAAAGTTTGGATTTCGCATGTGACCTAACTCTTTCATCCCATACATACCAACAAATCCTGATAAAGACAACCAATGTAGCACCAGCCTCTGCGGTAGTAGGCCTCAACATACACAAGAGGAAAAGCAAGATCCTCAAATGCAACACGGAGAGAACCAACCAAGTCACACTTGATACAGACGCTCTGGAAGAGCTGAGACAATTATCTACCTCAGTCAATTGATGAAGGGTTATGAAAGATTATGGCATTAACACCATCGTATGCTGGCCGACTCAGTGTTCTAGAGATTAAGCGTTCGCGCGCGAGACCGAAGGTCCTGGGTTTTCGTCCCGTGTATAGGACCGTGATTGAGCACTGCTGGGGAGTCCCGTACTATGACGAAACGGCCGTCGAGTGCTTCCAGGTTCTCAATGGTGTTCTGGCATAGGTCGACTTGTGAATTCATTCACCTCTATGATCTTCCCTCAATCCCCTCTTCATGTGATAGCTTGTTTGTTCCCAGCCACAGTGGATGGTCGCTGACGATGTCTAGTCAAGGGAAATTGAGTATCTTGCGTAGACAACTGTTTACAAATGCCTGTACCTTTTTGATGACGGTTGTGGTAGTTCTCCACCTTTCAGCTACATACAGTAGAACTGTCTTGACCTTTGTATTAAAGATTCTGACATTAGCAATTAAATTGACAGTTGTTTTAATTTCCATATGTTTTTCAACTGTAGAAATGCGTACCTTGCTTTGTCAACCCTCACCTTTACGTCTGCATCATATCCTCCTCGTTTATCAATGATGCTTCTCAGGTTCTTAAAACGTTTTAGCTCTTCCAGAGCGTCTGTATTAAGTGTGACTTGGTTGGTTCTCTCCGTGTTGCATTTGAGGATCTTGCTTTTCCTCTTGTGTATGTTGAGGCCTACTACTTCAGAGGCTGGTGCTACACTGGGTGTCTTTATCAGGATTTGTTGGTATGTATGGGATAAAAGAGTTAGGTCATCTGCTAAGTTCAAATTTTCTAGTTGCAATATGCAGTGAAAAACAATTTTAATGCACAATATTACAACTATACATAATACTAAAGTAACCACCTATATTAGATTCATTCATACTCATTGATAAATATCTCATGATTAGCAATAATTTGACCATAAATTTTGATTCAAACTTTTCTCATGTTATCTGTAGAACTTTATTGAAGAAGCGGTTTCAGAAAGCTTTGCTCGTTATAAAATAAGTGAACTAAAAAATAATTTGTCAAAATATTCTTCGAATAATGGTTCATTCGCTGCTGTACCATCTACAACATCTTCCACTAGTCGAATTTATTCAACCATTGGTAAATCACAATCAAATCCACACATAGATGTAACATCTAACGGTCATACAAAAAACACCAGTAACCATAGCAATGATGTTAACAGTAATTACATAAATGAAAATAAAAATCATACATTTCAAGAAGAATTACTCAATGGAAGTCGTATCTTAAGCTTGGAGCAGTCAAGAAGACCTCAAGAGAAAAGAATGGAAGTAAGTGAATTCAAACAAGAAGGAAATGAAGCAGAAATCTCCAGAATAGATTATTTTCCGTCAACGACTAGAGATAGTCCTAAATTAATTCAAGATGACAATATAAGAAATAAAGGTAATATTGGCTAAAGTATATCAAGTAGTTTATTGTATTACTCTATTATCATCGATATTAGAGATTATTATCACGATACGATGTAAATTGATTAACGTTGTCAACATATACTAACTGGTGTTCATTAAGTGACTTAAAGTAATTTATGAATCATACATGCTTAATTATGCATGAGATTACAGAAGTGTACTCTTTTTCAGAGTGTAATATGAACTTGAAAACAAAAAGACTGTTCAGTAACCATAGGTTTTCACTAGTTCTTTTTAATTAATGCGACAATACCGCTATGAAAAATACCTTCATTATTAATTAGTTTTATTAAATTCAAGTTAATAATAGTCGGTAACTAAAAAAATAATGAGATTTAGCTTCATCCAAATATCTTTGGTACATCAGTCTTCTTGAACTCTTATAAGGAGGCATATGTTTTTCAAGGGTTTATAAAATGTTCGTGGTTGAGTTTAGAGTTAAAATTAATGATTTAGGGTTATGGGTCGGAGTTAGAGTTAAACTTGACTTACATTTAATATTCAATATTAATTGAATAAACTGAACATTTCCTACGTTTAATGCTGTCAGTTTTTTTAATATAGTGACAATAATTTTCGTCATAATTTTAAATATTTTGATTACTATACGGTAGGTTTGAACTTACATAGTAACATGATTATGTTCAGTACACCAGAGTTAATTATTCGAAACCTTATTAAAAAACATTCATGAACAAAGCTCTTAGGTATAGAGTTGTAGAAATCGTTGAGTTTTTAATAAGATCATGAACCGATCAGTGTTGGACCACCATTGAACGCCTGAAAGCACTGGACGGCTGTTTAGTCTTAGTATGAAACTCATCAGGTTACTTTGTATTTTATTTTCACATCTTCAAGAATTTATCACTTCCTTATTTTACCAACTTTTGAATTAATTTGGAAAATATGTGGTTTGTAATTAAATAAAGAGAATTCATCTGCTCTACTCTGATCGTTCTTGATCCATTTTTCAACCAAACTCCGTTATGTCGGAATAAACGACAACAGTTTGTTTGCCTGGTTTAAATTTTATAGGGTCCCGTATGATCAGGTCTAGTACGATTATCGATTAGTTCACCTTTATTACCAGTAGAGCCGATGACTTTTAATAGCCGTTTGATAAGTCGACCAATGAAAAACAACCAAGGTGTTAACTCTTACTGGTCTTCGTACTTCATCTAACTTAGTGGCCTATCAGAAGATGAAAGAAGACAGATCACTTCCCCTGCTGTAGCCACTATAATCATAACTCGAATTGCATACAGTAATCTAGAATAAAATCTTGATCACAAATCAGGATAACTAAGAAATTGCATTGACGGCATAAAGACGCCAAAAGTGGAATACGACTGAACAATAGATCCATAATAAAATAACATTAACTTAAAGAAAATATAACATACAACATTAGTTTGCACATCAACAAAAGCTTACAAGCAAGAGCATACAAAAATACAGTATTTAGAGTATTTTGTAATTAGAGAACGAAAATAGAAACAAAAGCTTCAGGTGTGACAGTTTCAAAATTCAACGTTTCTCATAATCACCCTGTTTTATTAACCTCCAACCAACTGTGTACCTAACAACGAAACTCATTCTAACCGTCATTGACTTCAAGGATTGATGTCATTTTTGGTTTGGCCCCCTCCTAGTTTTCATCCAAACAACTACAACAATTCACATCACCTGTCGAGGTTATCAGTGGTTAGGTATACTTAATACATTCCCTCATCGTCTCAGTTTATGTAGGTTTGCGATCTTATCAATCTATTTTTCATCACTGTCTGGTACTTTATGGATAACTCAGTCGTTTTATAAAATGTGCGCAATCCTCCGATGAAATCTATATTCGGTAGCCTGAAGCTTACGCATATCTTCTAATTAAATAAGCGACGTTTCATAACCCTAAAGAAATACAGAGTGGACTGGTGTTCAGTGCACTCACCATTGGTTTGAACATAAATTTATTGATAGTTGATAGGATTCAGCTCATATCTGAAATGTTTGCCCACAATATTACTCACAACTATGATAAACATGAAAAAGATGGGAAGAAGGTACAAAACTAGTGTATATAAACAGAAATCATTGAAAACAGTCCGAGTTCTGTGGAGCTTACAAAATATAACCTTGGATACAATAAATAATAATCATAAGCGACATTACGTAGTTGAAATAAGTTGTGCCTAATTTTTTTCAATATACTAACTAATTTTTAAATGTGAAATCATTTAAAGTTTTCTTTAATTACACTAAGTATTTTAGACAGCAACTTACCGCATGTATTTTGCTACTGACATTCAATAAAAGAATTTATTTTAAAATGAATAAAATCAATTATAATACAGAAAATAATGCAAATTATCTGAATTTCCCAAGTAATTTTGTTACTGTACAACATATCAACCATGTACTGGTCATCATTTTCAGAGAACATTACAATAAGACTTGCAAATTCGTTCATTGTAAACTGATCACAAAATGTGTGCAAACATTAGATTTATTTTGTGTGAAAACATAATACACTGACAGCTTTCAGTGAATCAAAAGGAATCAAGATAGCATCTTATGGATTTTTGCACCAAATTGAGAGTTCAGTAAAAAATATGTTGCATTTAATTATAAACTAAGCTAAAATTGTCATTATATGTGAAAATTATATTTGAAATATTCTCAGCAATTGAAATATAACTAATTCCAACGTTTCGTCCAGCCAACTTGTCTGGACTTCTTCAGGGTAATAATCAAAATCAAAATTATCAAAGACATATATAGCTTTTAACAATCAGGATTATACTGTGTTAAACCAATCATATTTGGATGTTGATTTTTTGTAAAATAGGATAAAATGAGTCAGTTAACTACAAATCATGTGAAGAATTCAACTACATAGAAATAATTAACTGAGTAACAAATCGTATGTGTGTGAGTGTGCAGGTATGTGTGTATGTGTAAGAGATTGATATGAAGGTATAAATAAGTAAATAAAGTTCAAGTTCAAGGTTGAAAAATTTTTTGATAGTGAAACATCGATGTACATGTCAAAACATAAACTGTATTTTCAATGATTATGATCATGAGTCAGTTGAAGCTAGACCACCATGGAAAACCTGGAAGCACTGGACGGCCGTTTCGTCCTATTGTGGGACTCCTCAGCAGTGCGCATCCACGAAATAAATAAATGTTTACAGAAAATCAACACATTCCGAGAGATACTTGGATTTTAATTCAGCCCATTCACAGAGCACGAAAATTAATGTAGTGAAAAATCTAATGAACAGAAGTACTAAGATTGTTACAGACAAGGAAGACCAATGAACTGAATTAAATAAAGTATTTTCTACTCTTAGGGATAACAACTACCCAAAAAGGTTTTTAAAGAAGATTATTAAAAATGAAAGAAAACCTAAACTAGAAAGTATACGAAAAGAATGGAAGTACACCGTAGTCATACCTTACCGTAGTGAAACATCAGAAGAAATCAAACGGATTCTAAACAAACATGATATAAGAGTGTATTTTAGAGCGAATAACACATTAAGATCGACATTAGTGAAAGTTAAGGACAAATTAGCAAAGGAAGAACAACAGAACGTTGTGTATGAGATTCGCTGTCATGACTGTTATGCTACCTATGTTGGAGAAACATCCAGGCAACTGAATGTAAGATTGAAGGAACACAAACAATGCTTGAAAAATGTTCCGAAATCCTCGGTCGATTTAAAGACACTTGAAAATAAGTCAGCGATAGCGTTACATGCGTTAGAAACAGGGCACAAGATTAATTTCGAAGGGGACAAAATACTTCAGAAAGGTTTTAACACCCATAAAGAAAGATTGACAGCAGAAGCGCTGCATATATGGGCGAACAAGAACAGCCTGAACCTAAAAGATGGTATTCAACTGGCAACTACATGGCAAATTTCGTTTGACAAGTAAATTTGGAACCTATCTCTTGTTTAAACCTGTTTTTAATATCACATGCATCGTTATTATTTTTGAATGAATTCAATGAGTTTTTTAAACAATACAGTTTATGTTTTGACATGTACATCGATGTTTTATTATCAAAAAATTTTTCAACCTTGAACTTGAACTTTATTTACTTATTTATACCTTCATATCAATCTCTTACACATACACACATACCTGCACACTCACACACATACGATTTGTTACTCAGTTAATTATTTCTATGTAGTTGAATTCTTCACATGATTTGTAGTTAACTGACTCATTTTATCCTATTTTACAAAAAATCAACATCCAAATATGATTGGTTTAACACAGTATAATCCTGATTGTTAAAAGCTATATATGTCTTTGATAATTTTGATTTTGATTATTACCCTGAAGAAGTCCAGACAAGTTGGCTGGACGAAACGTTGGAATTAGTTATATTTCAATTGCTGAGAATATTTCAAATATAATTTTCACATATAATGACTTCTCTATACTCGGCGCTCAATTACTGTCAAACTATTCGTTCTAATCTTGACGAATATTCGTATATAAGCAAAAATTGGTTATATTTTATTTATAAAACGTTTCAAGTTGATAAAAATACCTATTATGCAACTAATCAGCGAATATGATGATGTTCTCCTACACTAACTCTTAACTCTAAATCTCATCTTTCACTTTCTTAGGTTCATAAACATAAGAGTAGCAAAGCTTCATTGGGTTATAATTAATGTTAGTTTGTGATGAGCACCCTAATTCATAACTCTAGTTAAACCCGCGATTCCTAACCCTAACCTTTAACATTATAGATAATGTCAACTGATGGATAAGAACCCTATAGGCTAATAACCCTAACTAATAACACTAGCTCGATTCATATTTAAATCTCACTTTTTTTCTTTTACTGTGATGAATAATTTAACATGTAAGAGTTGGTCATATCTCAACCATTATTCCTCTGTAATTTTATTGCTTTCCATTGCTAATTATTTTATAACGAAACACCGTTTCATCAATGGTTAGTAAGTTACTGAAAGTCGTTGGTATTGTATACTCTCGCCTTCCATTCTTTTTGAATTAATCAAATTGGATGCTTGACGAATTACAGATTAAAGCTAAAGTATTTTTAATGATAAATTTCTCTTTCGAAATAAAAATAATTAAACAACAACAGTTAAAAAAGAATTAAGAAATATGGAGCTCTAGGTTGAAACGTTCTAGCAGTGTACATCAATGATCAATAATCTTTAATCTATGAACGGACTTGATATTAAAGATTGAATGGCTCATCTTGCTTACCATTAAATCAAAATTTAAACTGTTTACGAGAAATAAATGTTGAGTAAAAATAGTTGATTTATTAAAGTAAGTAATACTATATATGTGAGTAATAATTGGATAGATTTCTCAGTTAATCACAAGGAGATTAGTTCTGTTTTACATAACTATGTTTTTCAGCTGGACACTTATGTCAAATAATTGTGGATTATAATTCAAACTATTTTATAGTGTCTAAAATTTATACATTTCAAACTAAAGATATTCACAGTTATATATTAGAAAGAACCATTATTTATTTTAAAATGTAACCATCAGTGAAAAGCTTAGAGCCTCATGATCAACAAAAAATAGCGTACTAGTTGATAGTTTAAGTTAACATAAGCAAACTATCTTTTTGAACGGTTTCATTTTATTGTTTTCTTTGTTTAGATTTATTCTGGTATAAAGTATTCAGAGATGTTTACAAGAGATGACTTGCTAAATTGACTAAATGCTCAACAGGTAATCTCAAGTTATTGATGAGAACATTCAATGTAACATTAACTTCATTTTCGTCTTTCATCAACTGTATTTGACTAAAATTAACTAATGAATACTTAGTTCAGCAATATAACTGGGTGTTATATATGTAGAATTAATAATTTTAAGTATTCTGCTATTATTTGTAAGTGTTGTTGTAATCTTCTGTCAATATTTCTAAAAAGTAGTTTTATGTTCTCTTTATTTTTAGAACTAGAATGTGAAAATTCTCGATTGACAGCTGAAGTAGAACGATTGAAAACACGTTTAAAATTGTATGAAGAAGTATGTTAAATGATCATTACTGACAATTATAACTTATATCATACTTTTTATCGTATCAAAGTAATAACAATCATCTGTTGATAATATAATACAGATACGACATTTGAGTTCATGGACAATTTGTAGTAGATAATTGCTTTAATTATCACTGCTGGATTTAAGCTCCAAAAGTCAGTCAGTTAGTCATAATTTCATCAAATCTGACAGATATTTTCATTGATTCAAATCGACACACAATATTATTATAGTGATATGCAATAATTAATACAAATAGCTGGTTATTAGAAGTAATGATAGCAGTAGTAGTAGTTAAAAAGATAATACATAGACATTATAATTCTAGAACAAAAAATTTGTACTTATAATGCTTATAATGCTTGTGACTTAAGGCAATATCGAGGCAATTCAGACAGGATGCACATAAGCCAATAGGTGGCTGATCAAATGCAGTCTTTAACATCAATGGGAAGATTAAAACAACTGATACAAAATGAACTAAAGTATAAGATAATCTTAAAATTCAAAATCTAAAAGATGTTAAAGGGTGGCTGCTTCTACTGTACTATTTACCGTCCAACACTGACCAGCTTCAGCTAATAAATTTATGGATTGATGTCATGTTTTGTATTGTTCGTTCCTACTCCTCCTACCACCCACTCATACACTAACTAAAGAGTACCATAAAGCTTTCTTTTAGCATATATTATTTCAATACAGATTAATGTGTTATCACATTCATTATTAGGTTTAATAGAAACAAAAATTCTGGGTTTTGTTTTCATTCATAATGAACTTCATTTACTCTTCCCGATTAAAAGAACTTGTTTGATCTCTGGTACTACTGTAGTGTATTTGATAAAGAGTGATTCCGTTCGCATTTGTTTCCATTGTAATAGTAGTGATAGTAATATCAGAATGAAAATATAGAAGCTTTTTCACTGTCTTAAATTAATCCATTAGTCTCCAACTAATATGTGCATTAACAAGGGATACTGTACTATTATATCGTTCTCATCAATGCATTGAAAATTATGTATAACTACTTGAAAACTAGTTTATATATATATATACCTATATATATATAGGATTGTTGCGGAATTTAGTAAATATTCGTAAGACAATGACTGTTAACTATACAACTTATCACTTTGAAAATTCTGCTCCTTTTCAGATTTTGTTTAGATTAAGCTTTTTGTTAATCACTTGACTTACACACTTACATACAGCCGCTACCCCTCATGGAAGCTTATGCCCCAGACTAGGATTCTCAAACCAACTATGTTCAATGCTCTATTTTCCAGTTGTTCCCACTAGACATTTATTCTTTTGATGTCTGCCTCCAGTTCTCAGAGCAGTGTGTTCTTTCATCTGCCTCTTTTCCTTTCACATCGACGATTCCGAGTCAAGGCTTGGTTCGTGATACAATTTCGTGATTTCCGTAATGTATGTCCTATCCACCACCAGCGTCTTCCCCAATCTCGTCTTCATGTGAAATCTTGTTTGTTCCCAGCCACAGTGGATGGTTGCTGATGGTGCCTGGCCAAGGGGAATTGAGTATCTCGCGTAGACAACTGTTTACAAATGCCTGTATCTTTTTGATGACGGTTGTAGATGTTCGCAACGTTTCCGCTCCATACAGTCGAACAGTCTTGACATTCGTATTAGCGATTCTGACAATAGCAATTGAATTCACAAGTCGACCTATGCCAGAACACCATTGAGAACCTGGAAGCACTCGACGGCCGTTTCGTCATAGTATGGGACTCCCCAGCAGTGCGCAATCACGGTCCTACACACGGGACGAAAACCCAGGACCTTCGGTCTCGCGCGCGAACGCTTAATCTCTAGAACACTGAGTCGGCCGCCATCCGATGGTGTTAATGCCATAATCTTTCATAACCCTTCATCAATTGACTGAGGTAGATAATTGTCTCCGCCCGACATGGATCGTATCCCTCTGGTCATGGCTTCTCACTTTGTTGTTGACTGAGACGAGTTTTCGATTCCTTGAACTTTAGGAATCTTGTCCTTGCTCTGCCGATGCGTGCCTTCACAACTGCATCTTATCCTTCTCGTTTATCAATGATGCTTCTCAGGTTCGTAAAACTATCCACTTCTTCCAGAGCTTGATTGATTCTCTCTGTGTTGCATTTGAAAGTCTTCCTTTTTCTCTTGTTGAGATGAAAGAGAAAAGAGTAGAGTAAGCAGCCTTGTCGCATACCAGTTCTCAATTGAAATGCATATGATCGTTTTTCTACATGCCTAAAGTTGCTGTGTATTCTGCCGTATGAATTCTGCATGGTGACGACGATCTTCTCAGTTACAGCATAATGTCGAAGCACATTTCATTTTGTCGTTCAATCCGCGTTGTCAAATACTTTCTTAAAGGCAAAGAATTTGATGTTTGGTGAAGGGTTTTATCCTATTGATTGCTCATCAACGACCCATAGTTTCGTGTTTTGGTCTGTCCTTTACCGATTCATATGGAATCTAGCCTGTTGATTATGAAGTTGGACGTCTACTGAATCTTTCTTCCAGTTCAGTAACACTGTTGAAAACCTTTCCTGGCACTGATAGTAGTGTGATGCCTCTGTAGTTCTCACATTTGCTCAGATCTCCTTTCGTTGGTATCTTGATGAAGTATCCTCGATTCCAGTCCATCGACACTTGTTCTTCCTCTCAAATCTTCTTGAATAGAACATGCAGCATGTTTGTAGTTACTTCGATGTCTGACTTTGGTGCTTCAGCTGGTATATTACCAGGTCCTGCTGCTTTCCCGCTCTTGATTTTTTCTGATGATCATCCTGATTTCTTCGATCGTTGGTGAAGTGACATCTATAAGAAGGTCTGTAGGTGTTGCATCGATATATGATGAGTTCTGTGGGGCTTTTCTGTTCAAGAGTTCCTCGAAGTGTTCTACCTACTTGCTCCTCTCTCCTTGAATTTAGGTGACTGACTTCCTTTGTTGATTCTGGACTTTTTGCTCGGGTTTACAATATTTTCTTGATAGTTTCTTCGTTGCATTATTTGGTCGTTTCATATTTCCTTCTCTTGCAGCTGTTTCCACTGTCACTTCCAGGCCTTCCACGTATTTCTGCTTGTCAGCTCTAATATTTCTCTTCACTTTCTTGTTTTCTTCAGTGTATTCGGTCGGTGTCTTGGCTTTACGTGCTCTTGTTCGGCTGTTCTTAACTGGTGTCTTCTTGTTCCTCCTTATTTGAATCTTGCTCAGGGATCCATTCATTTTGATGTTTCTTGGAGCTCAGCACTTCTTGGTACTTTGAAGTTAGTGGTTTTTTATCCTTATCCAATTGTCCTTCACACTAGTTCCGTCTTCCAGTTGATCTTGTAAGGCTTAGAACCTGTTGCTAATTACATTACTACAGTCTGATTTTTGGATATATATTATTGCCAAATATGTAGTAAACTGAACTAGACGCTAAAACATAATTGTTTATAGCAATTAACGCATTAAGGACAAATTAACCATATGTTTTACCAACTACTTAAATGACATTGTAGCTTGCATCCGCTATGAATTCAAATATGACTGCATTTCATCCTGTCATGCCTTTATCTCTGACTAATTCACACGAATCAGCAGGCGGAAATATCAGTTTTAATATAAATGCCGGGTCTACGATGAAACGTACAATGTCCTTAATGTCATCAAATCCAAATTTAACAACCAATCCAAAGACATCGTCCTCATAAATAATCCCTAGTGGATTAAATTTTGAAAATGATCTTACACGTCAGGAACAATTTTCTTGTAATGCTTAGTTGTAATAATCATGAAGAGAATCAGCTGAATTCAATACCACGTATTCAGAATTTAATAAATTAATAAGGTAAGTAGTGTAGTTGTTATTCTTGCTTTGCTATATTTTTTATGTGTGCTATAGGCACAATTAAAATACGTAGATTGAGGTTATTTTTTAAATAGTTTATGACACGTACAGTATTTAATCATCTAGAAACTAGTTTACTTGGAGCAGTTGCAAGTTTCATCTTTGTAAAGTCATATTTAAAAGCTTTTTGTTATGCACTAATCAAGAACTTATGAAGATCGTTTCTTTCCGAAGGCTTCATTTGTTTTGAAGCGAAACCGTTCTATATCTTCATCATCAACACTTGGTAGATAACTTCATTATTGTACTAGTTATAAGGTTGATCAAAAATACAAACTCCAACATTCTCGAACTACAAATCAGAACACTAAAAGATCAAATTTATTATTTATTTGTTCATATGATTGAATGAGTAGCATAACATATCACAACGTATTACACATGGATATACAAATTTGGTGTTTTCTTTATAAGGTTGATCGACAAATTTATAATTAGTTGATTTCAATGTATAAACTGTATAAGACGACAATAACAAATATTGAGTTTAAAGTTAGATTACAACTAACAATGATCATTTGTATATAGTTTAATAATCATGAAGTAAAAGATACCAGTTTGATTATTTATATTTTATCTTAGTGAGAAATGGGATTTATTTAGTTTTATCAGGGTTTCAGTTACATCTCATCGGTATATTTTGTCACCAGTAAATTACTAGTTCAAGTGGTCATTTGCACAGTATTCCGACAAATGAGTGCAGTGTCATTTTTTCACTTATTTATTTAGTTATAATAATGGATGAACTTACCTACAACTTTTCCAATGTTCAATAAATGAATCATTCTGACGCTCAAGCATTCCTATGAAATGTTAAGCAAGGGTACACTAGATATGTTCATATTGGACAATTGTGCATAAATGTAATAGATAGTATATATGTACACAGCACTCATTTCCTGAATAAACAGTAAAATTATGAGAAGTGGTGTGTACGATACAATTAGTATTGAAAACACATTATGGATAAACTCAGATGATAGCAACTAATATGTTCTTATTTCCTTGGACTAAATTTTATCTTTTTCCATTTCAGCCTTTTCAGGAAGTTCAGTATAGTTTGATGAAAGCACTTAGTGCTTCGTTAAATATATAATAACATTTTCATCCATTTTTTCATCAAATTACTGAACTAATTGAATTTTGAACACAGCTTTTGTTTTAGGCTACTAATTAACTTTAAAAAATCCAGCCTTGACGTTGAATTCTTTTGTCGATTGACATGTTAACTTGCATTGTTTTTATTCCCTATTTGTTTTTTGTTGTTTTATTCTAGACATTTATTTTCATTGTTTTTCTTGGTCTCATTCTATACTACTAAAAGTTTTAAAGTAATATACACATATCACAAAATGGAAATGGAATTTAATGAATTTTTTTCTTCTTCTAAAATCATTACTGCTTTTGTGAATTGTTTTTTGAATCACCAATTGTATGCACAAACATATCATGACGTTTCGTTTATTCTGTGATTTGTTGTAATTCTTCCCACACTTTTATTTACTGCTGTCGTTTGTAAGTTCTGTTATTGGAACTTCTCCAACTTGACAACTATGTACGTATTGTAGTACTTCAATTCACCTCCCGATATTGAATTTTCTCGGGTTTTGAAAAACGAATTATTATGTTTCTACTGAACTGCGAATTTTTAATTTTTGCCGACAATATGTTTCTTTTTCTGTTGTACTTTTTCCTTCCTTTTCAAATGTTTCAAATAAACTGTTTAGCTAAACTATTAATAGAAAGGGTTTTTTGTCTGAATGTTGTTAATTACTGAAACGATTCATACTATTGTTAATAAAAGAGGTAAAGTGGGCTGGACATTCTACAAACTGCACTAGTTTGGTAAGTTTATATATGTAGATAGTCACCATTGACATGGTTATTTCTAATTTGCCATTGTAAAACAAAATATCGTATGCCATTCTGATAATTACTTGCACCCTACTTAATAAATCGTGCTTATTTTCACTAACACGATCATACTTGTTTGCTTACAGTTTAAGATGAAGCTTTGGGTGAAATAAAAAACCTTTGCATACTACTAACAAGTAGTTTAATGGAAATGATTTCATTTTCAGGTTTCGTTTTTGAACTTAACTCTTCGGACTATATATATCATATGTCAGGTACGCACATGAATATGTTAGAAACTTCGTTCAATTCACAATTCAACACTACCGTAAATTAATCTAAATTAACGTGTATAACACTGCGAAAAAACACTTATCCATACAGAGTTACTTTCTTATTATTTCGATAGTTGTCTGTATATATCATTATGTAATACCACATACGTTTTTAACACAGAAGTATTTTCGAAGATTGATTCAGCGGGTTCGATAGCTGTATGCAACACATAAACCTAATTTATATGATTGTAGTCTGTCTCACTTCGAATCACTTTATCTATTTCAAACGAATGAAGTGAACATTGTTACTTAGAATGCAATTCATTTCAGCTGCATACTCAAAGCAGAGTAAAATCAATATTTATAAAATAAGTCTCGGGAATCGAACCCGAAGTTTACGACCGCCGAGCTAACGCTTGACGTCTGAACCGGAATTTAGCAGTGCCAATGTCTGGTTTCGATCAGTTCACAATATTGACCCAATTATTCTTCATCCTCTATTATGGATAACATTCTAACTACCGAAGTGATTGAATTCCACTGTTTGGAGCTTTTCATCAGAACTAGAAGTGCATCTCGAAATTTTTTTTTAAGTATACATATTATTATCAATGCTGATGTAAGAAGTTTGCAGAGACTGTTGAATTTTCACTGCATTTAATTTTATTTAATGAAATATAAATTTAAAATATATGTATCTGGTTTTTCTGTTTCTATTGGATAATTAAAACTTTCATTTGTAAAGTCCTGGTTTTTATTTTCAATATTGAATAAGTAATGAGAATAATTAACTGCTTGAGGCTAAAACTATGAATCATGTACAACCATCGCATTATATTTTTGTGACTGCGTTTAAATCTAATTATTCATAATAATAATAATTCCTACAAGGGTTACTTTTAGAAATTTATATCAATATTAACCAATTTTAAATTGTTATGTTTTTTTTTATATGTAAACCAATTATTTTATTCTATGCAGTAAAATGCGTGTTTTCATTGATCAGACGGTCGACAAAAGAATGTGCCTCCCCCTAAATTCACGGTTTCCTGATGACTAACCTCCAGCCATTTAATACCTCAAAATAGTTCATCTAATGTCCAGTTTTTTAGAATAATGATTTATTGTAACTAGATCTACAAACTCCGATTAACTTTGTAAAGACTAGAATAATATGACAGTGATCAGTACTCACTAATTAATCATTTGATTTCTACCAACATTATTGGTATTCTTCATTATGCATTAATTGATCTTTTCCTATAAACTTTAACACAATTTATCTAGTGTAAGAGATATACACTTTATAGGAAGAATTTTGTTGAGTAACTCAATTTCAAATAAACTAGGCCATAGTTTTATATTCATGTATTAGTATATCTTCGATATTAAGAAAGATAATGTTTTGTCAGAAATATAAACCTATAGCCAGGAACACCAAACTATACTCTACAATATTTTATGTATATTCGAGAAAAAAAATGTAGGTAAGACAGTATTCTCAATAATTATAAATATTGTAGTATATAGAAAAAAAGTTAACTCATCTACTCAAACAAATAAACAATAGTAAATATCTAAGTCACGGGGTATATTCAATTGTATGAATTTACTTTTCTATGTATATATGTATTTATATATCCATTCATGTACGTATGTATGCATGCATGCATTCATACGTTTTCTCTATGAACTTAGAAACATATTAGATTTTTAATAATTTTCAATTGTTGATTTGTTTAAATGTCTGTTACATTTCAAATATGTTTCTTTTTAATAGTTGAAAAAAAGCCCAAATCAAAATGATTCCATTAAATGCCAATAAGTGATTTTTTTTGTTGAACCAAATAATTGATTATTACTTTTTAATTGTTTTAATTCTTTAATTAATGCATTCCATTGAATTGATGCTAAATTATCGATTAATTTAGTCACACCAATTGATATATTTGCCACACGTCTTAAGTGATTCGATGTATCTGTTCGGGTAAATATTTGTAATATTATTCCAATATTATTATAGTTTAATAATCGATTCACATCTACATTTAATGAGACATGTTCATCTTTAGGAATTGAAATATGATTACAAATGTGGAATAGGTCACTTTGATCAATGCTATTCTCTTCATTATATGATTTTTTCTTAACAAGTCGAATTGGTTTGCATCGTACAATGGATAAGGTTGTATTACCAAGGCACAATAATGCTTGAAATATCATTTCAGCTAGAAAAAATGTTAATAGTGTTAACATTATAAACAGAGGGCTAAAGTTAATATGAAAAAAATACTAAGCTCATTTGCAATAGTTGTTTAAATCTTCCAATTGATGTTTAGGACTGCAATTGATCAGTCTCTTTTGTCGTGTACGCATTCTGTGAGGGTTGCATTGATACTGACATTTAGTCACAAACATTATAAGCAGAGATGGATGGTGGCTATCAGTGGAATCCAGGATTCGTGTTTCTTCCTATTGAGGACTAGTCACCTAGATTCGGCTGCATGCCAAACTGGCAGTCCACCACGGAACTTTAATTCAGTATCGTTTGTTTCAAACGTCATTGCGTTATATAATTAGCTACTGGTTTCAGACAACCACTGGGTTGTTAATAACACGACAAAGTTTGAAGCAAACGATATCAGGTTCGAGTCTTGGAGTGAATATCAACTCAGATGCAAGTACAACCATTCGACCGGTTCACAGCTCCCATAAAAGGAAGGACAAAATATGCCATCATGAGTGGATTTTCCCAATAGACTACCGTATTTTATGGGCTGCAGTTAGTGATACTAACTACCTGTTCATATCCAAGTGTTTTGAGTGATTTCTGAATTTTCGTTTAAATAATTGGAAGTCAGCAGACTTTACAAAACTAACAAATCCCTATAGGCGCCAAGCACAATGATTTGTAAAAGCAACTTATGTATAGATTGATTAAATAATCATGAGTACTAGTGGACAATGAAATAACAAAAATAGGAAAGATAACAACTATACTGATCAAGAAAAATTCATTTGAATGAGCTGAGAAGATTAAGACTAAAAATAATTTGCCAGTTAAATGGGATCGGCGAAATCAGGCATTGATCTACTATTAGACCGGGAGATGTGAAACTGTAATCCAATCTTTTAGGGACCCGTTCAATTGGTCCCCAGATAATTTCCATATTTCACCATTCACCAACAAACTGAACGATGTATTGATGTTAACAAAGTTGAAAAAATGGTAGCTAATTCAATCCACAATATTACGAGATCATCATCCGCTGCCATTGATGACTTTTGTCGCACTACCGGCTAACTGAACTTCATTAGACACGTCTTCTAACTAAAACTTCTATAATTTACCATTATTATAAATGTAAACTACTAAATGTTAACTCATCAGTATAAAGGTTAAACCCTCGCCACAAAGCTTGAAGACTATACGTTCGATCCTTGACAGGAGCTGTAAATACCAAATAGAACATTCCCACAGTAGTATGAAATAGTTATGCAACTCTTAGCTGTTTTCGACTGTTAGCTAGCTAAATTTTGTTCACGATGGAGTAATATGCACAAACATCTATGCTTAACATTGACACACATGTCCAGATGCTGCACGGATTTTGAATGGTTCAGAATAATTTTATTATTTGAAGTTATAGCAAATAGTTAACGCGACACACAATCCATATCAAATTTTGATCTCTTCCATATTATATTTGACGCAATATAGGAAATACAACTAGTATGTATGGCTCCTTGCTTGCCATCTTTAAACAGTTACTTGAACCTATTCAATATTTTGTTTCCTTTCTCATCATAACTCTTTATTTCAAAATAATTTTATCCTCCGCACAGTTGAAACAATTTATAAGATCATCTACATCTTTTGACATAAAATCTTAGACAGTGTTTCGTAGATCGATTCTTTTTTGAATGCTGGTGTGGTGTATGTATGTAGTGCTATTACGTGTTAAAACACTGTCATCTATAAGCTAGATGAAAAAGATTAATTTTGCAATGATCATTTAGGCCTTTGTAACAGTGCAAACATCTATTGAGAATCTCTTACCTTATAGTTAGTTAATCGTAAACTTCACCTTAGGTAGATCAATTATTTTACTATTTTAGTAGCGTACGCATAACAAAAGTCTATATACTAAGTCTTCTCTATCAATCATTTCGTTGCGAAGAAATCAAAAACATACATGAAAAGAGTTATCCTGAACTTGTCATTAAGATCTCTCTACTCGTTTATCTCTGTTTCCATCTTTTTCTTTTCAATATGAACTTATGACTAGATAAGGATCACACAACGCTACATTGTTAACTTTACTCCATCCTAATGTTGAAATTTCAGTCTTCTAACCCGGGTAATACCCTATCCTAAAGGTTCATCTATTATCTAATTTCTGTTAAAAATGTAATAACATAATACTATCAAGACTCTTTAGTATTGATTTTATTTAATCAAATTTGTTGCTGATAAACAAATCAAACGCTTTCGATAGTCTTTCAACCTTCTACAGACAATAAAATTAACTATAATGTCAACATTATTCTGAACCCAAACGAAGTGTTATAAACCATACTAATCTCGAATAAGTAAACTGTTTAATTTATCTTCCACTCCAAGGATTTGATATTTATTGTTCTACAACATATATACTGTTTTATTTATCCCATTTAACTATTACATTACTTATTGATGCTAACGTAAGTTTTACAAGATCAATAATCTTTTTCAACATTAATTCCATGAATAAAGCTGTATTTTCTATCGATTTCACCTTTGATTATTGATATTTCGTACATCATATGATTGACATTATTGCTCAGTATCTCACTGTTTTACCTAAAAATAACCAGTGACCACTAGAGTTCAACCGGATCTGTTGTGAGATAGTAATTCACTGAAGACAATTGTGTACGCTGGTGCAACTTCGTGGATTGGTTGAATTTAGAGTTTAACATTGTTGGATGCCGGCCGGCTCAGTGGTCTAGAGGTTAAGCGTTCGCGCGTGAGACTGATAGGTCCTGGTTTGGAATCTCGCTGGGCGCGATCGTGGGTACGCACTACTTAGGGGTCCCATATTAGGACGAAACGGTCATCCAGTGCTTCCAGGTTTTCCATGTTGGTCTAGCTTCAATTGACTCGTGATCTCAACTATCAAAATTAAGAATAATTACTGGATTACATCAGTTCAGATTGTATATCATTGAGCATTAAAATGTCGCTTATCATCACTGTATTTTAAAATGATTTGTTTAAATTCTTTATTAATTTTCACAAAATATGTTCCGCATTGAAAAGTATTAGAAGATTTATTATAACTTACTTTCTTTTTTTAAAATTTTGACATTTTTTATCTCTTCTATATAAATTTCTAAGATAGAAGAGTCTATTTTGTATTGAATAGTTACTTTGACCATTGATTGGTTTAACTCTTCAATTTGCGAAACTTCTGAACTAATATTCGACTGAAATATAAGCAATACCTTAAGTAGAAATAATGCAAAATATTTGACAATTTATTTGTACGACTATAAAAATCACCTTAACATTATAAACGTTTTTCATCACTATTTAATTGATCATCTTTCCATATTGTAACAACATTACGAAAAATAATAATTAAACATTTTAATCTTAACGGTTTTAATCATTTTCACATATTACTGCATTGATTCCTCTCTGAGTGAACTTGTTTGTGAAAGTAATTAAAGATATAGCCTAGTATTGAAATCCAGTATATTAATTTCTTTCTATTTAGTATTTGTTATCCGAGTGTTTCCGTATCAGATTGGTTATCCTTGCACAAGTAATCGAACCAAATATGTTATGTTTCACTGAACTACTGAAATTAGATAAGATTTACTTTAATCAGTTTGCTGTATTTTCGTTTTTGCTCACAGGATGAAATAAGATTATTAATATTCACTTGGCGTTGTTTTACTTGTATCTTTTTATTGTTATTTAACACTGCAATCGATCAATCTCATGTTCGCATATGTACATCCTGTACGGATTGCCTCGATATAGCCTTAAGTCACAAGTTTTTTTTAGCAAAGATGGATAGTGGCTCGCAGTGGAATCCAGGACTCGTGACTTATTGAGGTAATCTGCACATGATGCACACATGCCAACGTGAGACTGATCAATTGAAGCGTCAAATAACAGGACTCAGTGGAGAACGCGATGTCGTTTGAAGTGAACGGTACTGGGTTCGAGTCTTGGAGTGAACATCAGCTCTTAGATGCAGGCAAATCTAGCTGACGAGTCCGAAATAGGACAAAACGCGCGTTCTGGATCCCATTGCTAGTCATGTCAATCTTTAATTTAAAAAAAAGAGATTATTAACAGTTTCGTTACAATTTTTTTAAGATCAAATAGTTAGATTAAATTGAATTTCAACTATAGATAAATTTGTTGTTTGTTAATATTGACATTACTTATTTCGAGAATTTCATTTAAATTCTAATGTGTTATATATTTACGTGAAAGAGTTCCTGATGCTCTGAAGTAACTAAAATCTGTGACAAATGTGGCTGATTTAACTCAAAAGCGACAGCAGATATAATCACACGTAATTATGTATAAAAAAGACTAGTCTAATTTTGAAATAGTTGAGTGTAAAAAAATAATATTCGTTGAGGTTTGGTTTAGTAACTTATTAGTTATCTGTAAGTAAAACTACTTTTGGTTAATTGGTCTCATTACAATTTGCAGCACAGAACTGATGAAATAAATCTATTTGAAATAAATTTGAATATCTAAACTACCTGAAAAGAATTCACTTGGTATCGTTTTGCTTCAATCTTCTGATGGAGATTTAAGACTGCAGTTGATCAGTCTGTTATTGACATATGTGCATACTGAGCGTATAGCCTCGATATTGCCTTAATTCACAAGCTATATAAGCAAAGATGGATAGTGGCTAGCAGGTACATCCAGCTGACGAGTCCCAAGGGAGACGAAACGCGCGTCCTGGATTCCACTGTTAGCCACTATACAACCTTACCTGAAAAGAATTTTAATAAACGGTTAGAATGTTAGTTGTTTAATTTTGTATTTTACTGATCGGTATTTACATCGTATAATATTTACGTTCCCTGAGCGATCTCTGAAAGCATGGCTTTAACGAATTGGTAATTATTTATTCAAATTACACTTGTTATTAATCGTAGTCACAGTAAAAGAATATGTATTCTGCATAAACATTAGTCAGCCATTTTAAACAAATTGTTTAACACTGGTTTTTGTATTAAACACCATAGCTGAGTCGTATAACTAGAAATGGGAAAGTGTTATTAAAGTGTCTATGATTCTTTAAGGTAAGTTAGAACGTTTCCATTAGTGCATTTTATAAAATACACTTAAATGTGCTACTACGACTGGTTATCGTTTAGTCCGTCATGATTATGGAAGACATCTCACCAATATTCATATGGAATCCGTGATTCATGATTTGTGCAACCAATCATCCTTATGCATCAACTCATCATCGATTCTCTTTCATACATTTTTTTTCAAGAATGTTCTGAAGGATACCTTCTTCTGAAATTGTTGAGAATATTTGACTGCTTTCTCATTTATTACTATTACTATTAAAACTAGTCAATCGATCAGAAATACTTATAAAGTGTAAATAATCTTTGATGACTACTTGAAAACATTTGAGTAATATAATACATCATTTACCAAAGTTTTTCCATCCCCGAACTCATTTTTTTGACGATCCTCATTTTCCGTAATGAATGGATACAATTTGTAATTTACTGGACCACTTATCGAATCATTGTTATCACAACTTGCTATTTTCGACTGTCTACTTTGTAACTCTGGTAATTTGCGTAATTCCTGCCAAATATTTTGCATTTTTTCGGGACAATTAATTAATTCATGTTGGTTTAATTTGTAAAATGTTACACCAATACATCTCATCTCTTCAGATATCATATTCATTCTACGTGAACATCTATCATTTCCATAGGGATATGAATGATGACATGAGACGACGGAATTATTACGTCTTGGTATTCTATTATTATTTAAGTTGGCAAATTCATCAGTAGAACTATTCACTGTTGTTGACTGTAATACCGTCAAAACTAATTCAGTACTATCTAATTCGTTCATTGTGACGGAAAATAGGAATGATTGATCGAAATTTGGGTTTAATGAAGTTAAAACTGGTTGTGTGAAATAATTTTTATGAAAACCTTCACTTTTATTACGTGAATTTATTCTCCCTTCATCGTCTTCATCGTGTGCTTCAGTGTAAATTGTAGAACTTTTATTGTGTCTTAAACGTAAACTTACAACAAAATTAGTTGGTGATTGACTTGGTAAAATATTTGAACTTTTAATAAGATTACTAACACCAATTAATCGGTTAATTGTTATATTCAGTATTCCAACAGTGCATGTATACGCCAATGAAAAGCATATGTGTCCATTTGTATCTGGGTTCATTGTGAAATTTGTCCATGTATTGTCTAAATCTGTTTGATTTTTCAATGGTACTGTAGACAAAATACGCATAACAGGGTCAAAAACTTTTTCAGTACTACTTAAGCGACGTTTAACCTCCGACCATACAGATTCACTTGATGATGATAATGATTTTTCACTTCGAAATAATGATTTGAATTTTGTACGGTTTGGCCAAGGCTGTAAGTTTTTGGCAAGATCTGAACCACTTAACTTTGCTAAATGAATTCCTTTTTGTGTTTCTTTATCGGATGATGTTGATGTTTTATTGTCACTTATCTCACCATTCTCGTGATCGATACTACTAGTGTGACTTGCACATTTAGTCGTACAACTTTCAGAGAATGCTCGAATTAATTTCCCTTTCTTTGTAACTAAATTATAATCTGGTTGTACCATTTGAAGTTTAGTGATATTCAATGGTGGATTATCTAAACCAAAAATAAGTTTAGTTTTTTTATCACTGGCGACTGGTAATCTATGATCATTCTCATTTGATTGATATGATGACATTTGTTGTAAACTGTATCTTTGTTGTCTTTCTTTAGATCTCATCATTTCTTTGATTGTTTTTAAACTTGCATTACCAAATGAATCACATTTCGAATGTTCAGTACTACTAATACCACATGAATAAAGATTCGTCTCTTGATAGGCATTCTTATCGAAGCTATAAAGTCGGGCAATTTCTTTTCTTGCGTCTTTATTATTTGACTGTTTATTCATAGATTTTACCCGTCTTGTACGTTTCATAATCTGTCTTGAATCGGGATAAAATATTAAATACCAAAGAGCTATGAAAAATATTACTAAACATAAGAAGATCACAGCTAGTAATTCAGTGTGAAACATCGAAATTTACAGAATTTTTTAAAAGTTCTGCTTAATTATTACTTATCAAATGTTCAAGAAAATATTCAATAGTGTGTTTAAAGATGAGATGTATTGGTGTTATGCTGATTAACGTCTTGATATTTTGACAAGTCTAGAAAAAAAATGAAAGAACGATTATTCACAATTGACATTCATCGTAATAATAAATAGTGTTAGCGTTTGGAAAATAATGATGAATGATAAGTACAAAAATTATAGAATAATCTTTAACCTACTGTGGTGTGTCTCCACTTGTGTTATCGTTCACTACACAACTAGTAAACTTTCACTCTGTATTGCTCAAAACTTAAGAGGTTGCTCTTCAACTTTCAATAATAGTAACTGGATCTTATGCATCTTACACCTGTTTAGCTTCTGCTGCATCTAGACACAAACACGTTACCTTTTGTTTGTATACAAATGATAAAAATTATGCGATTCATATATCTAGGATTACTGCTAATATAAATACTGGTGTACATTGATTTTCATTAAGTGACCAAACAGTGTTCATCTCTCAAATCTACATCCGGCTAATTGAAGACTAATTGGTTTAGTGATAACCTATTTAACAGACAGTGCACAACACGAACTGATATCTCACCCATATCATCAGTTTTCTCAAGACTGTGTATATTGTTTATTTGTGAATGTTAATGATCGCGAAATCTAAATGCAAGTATTTTAACTAATTACTTTCAGTTGCCTAAATTCAGATTTCCAAGTGTTTACAGAAAAACAATAGATAGTTTTAATGATGCTATCTTGAAAATCCGTCTGAAAATGTATTAGTGCATTAAGTGAACATTTATAAAGGTAGTGCAACGAAGGTATCCATTATTAGCATTAACTACTCAACATTTTATTGATCGGTAGATTGCCTACATACATTCACGATAAAATTTATTTTTACGACCAATCACTATTTTGCTGATTAATTTCAGTGTTACATATCTATTTTAAATTATCTATGGCCTCTTTGAGACTTTTATTCAATATTTTCATCTTTCATGTCAAATCTATGATGCTTTACAACAGTTATTTTCGTATATTAAATATGAATTCTAGAATACGTCTTATTTTCTAAAAGAACTTATATAGTAGTCAACAGTGTTCATATCAAAAACCTCTATATTAATTTTTCTTATTGCTTTCTCAACAACGTGACATTTTTGTAATTTTCTTTGACATATAACACTTAATAAATTCTCATTGAACTATCTTAATAGATTAGAAAAATTGTAAGTGAATAAGCTTTGTAAATATGTAAGTATGATTAATGGAATTAAAAGAGGCGACATAAATTTGAAAATTAAACTTCAATAGTATTTACTTCTGTATATAACGTGAAGTTCAGTCAAACAGACACTATAGTCCCTAAAACAAAAATATACATTTTATCAAAATACCAAATATATTCTAAGGTAAATAATCTTTAATGTTGTGTTGAACTGATTCAACGAAAGTATGTTTTGTTAAAGACCCTTGTTAAAATTAACATTTGATCATGAACCTATAAAATTTATAATAATTCACTAAAAAAAACCTTGTCGATACTGAATATTCATAAAATCTCATATGAAGATACAATATAGTAAAGAAAACAAATTGATTATTTACATCGACATTGATAAACGATAATTCTAATTAATTTTAGCCTACACCCATGAAAGAATTTATTCAGTATTTTTTTTACTACAGTCGACGCCATAGTAAATATAATAAATTACATATAAGAGTTTCATTCGAACTATGTAATATTTTTGTGTAGAAGAGAAAAATGAACTATACAGTATTCAATGAAATAATAAACCTTTAATCAATGTTTAAACTATCGAATTATTTAAATCGACTGTAGTTAGTATTATCTACTGTTAATCAGTAGCAGACGATATGTTTCAATGGCAATTTGAGCAAATCATGAGTTCTTAAAAAGAAATATACTAATTCAAGTTTAAATACTGAGTGTACTATATTGCATTGTAATGAAAAATAACATACAATATCAGAATGAGTAGAAAATTAAATTTTGTTCCTTTTGTGACTTGATGTAAGTCGTTTTCTCAAACAATATACAAAATCGTAACTGAATTGTCAAAAAAGCTGTTTGTAGTCATTTGAGGTGTAATTACATTTTATGGTATTCAAGGTTCGTGCTGCATATTTTTTGGGTGTTTGAGATCGGTTGTTTCTTTTTTTAGCTATTCTCTGAAGAAGTGATATGTGCTCAGCAGCGAAATGCCACAGATTCAATTTTTCCACCCGTTGAAATATCATAAACATGTGATTTTTTATTAGGACTAATTCACTCAATGCTCAATTCATTTGAAATTATGAAGTCGAACCCTGTTATTGATTCTTAGCATACGACACTGTTACAGTACAAATATATTAATACACTTTTTACTGAGAAAGGAAGACAAGACATTTAATATTATTATTAACAATGCAAACTAGTCACTTACGTAAAATTCAAACACACTGAAAGGAAGAATAATTTAGTAAAATAACCAGCTGTTTATATTTCAGAATAGGTGAACAATTTCTGATAATTTTATGAATACCATGAACATATTTCTCATCTTTTGTACGCGCAAAGACGTAACTTTATAACCATATTTATAATTCAATTGAGTTTGGTTAGTTTTGTGATAGAAACATTTAAATTCAAATTGACAATCATTTTTTAAAAATGAATTTCAATAAGAAAAAATATAGATGAACAATGCACCGTATTTATTTTTTTCACTAAATGACCTGACATAACCAATGTTATCAATTAGGATGAAATTGATTGGGTATTTGCTGTTAAATTTTGATTGGTCATTTTTTATGCTTCCTATTGGCTGTAAATAAATTTAATTCACAATGATTAGCATTACCGCTGAATTAAACAATTTTGTTGTTTTTAGAGTAACTTATTGGGCTTTGAGTGTAGAAATATGACATATGCATCATTTATTGATATAAGCTTTCCAAAACTAGCTTAATCAATTTAGTTTCTACCCCAGTTTCCGTTCAAAAGTCTTTTAGTATCAATTTATTGATGGAAAGCATTCAAAAACATATGCTTCCTTATAGTGGTGTCCTTTTTATTGATTCACACGCTATTTAGAAGATACATATGATCCACAGAACAGGTAAATTGTGCTAAACAACGGAATTCCGGAGCGCATTTTGTCTTACTTGGTATACGTGCCTCCTGACTGACTACCAATATCCTCATATTTTACTGTCATTTTTGTGAAATACGCATTTTTCTGGTAAACCTGTTACTCAGTTTTATATACGATATCAACTATATTTTCCCGGAGGTGTGTTGAGTAGTTGCAATTCAGTTTAACGGTTTAATCGAAATAATTTTTGAGTAAGAATACAGTTTTTTTAATATAAAGCCTATTCAAAGTGAAATACTACTATAATCCTACTTATCTCAAAATAACTACCATATTAAATTAGCCGATAACTCGGCACTCTCCTCTTTTGATCGATTAATTGCATAATTTTATTTTGAAACAAGAATGTTGATAAGTAACGTAAATGTTGACATTCAAAACGAAACTACATTCTATAATATTCAGAGTACATACTATGAAATTTTTGACGCACTATTGTCTTCAGTCATATACTATTAAAATTTTCCACGAAAATCTGGAATTGATGACGTTTAAATGTCATGAGTTCATTAAGAATGGAACTTTTTGACAAATTTACAGCAAGCTAATGGTCCAAAGGCAACTTACTCATCACCTAACTAAGACATTATAGGTTTGATTAGTGATAGAGTCTTGAGTATATGCTGCTGAAGTGTCTAATAGTAGGAAAAAACAGATGTCCGTTGGTCACTGACACCCAGCGGTTGTTTATTCTACACCTGCGCGTTGTATAAAATGACCCGCATAAGTAAACAGTTTACTGATTTCAGTTTAATTTCATCAAATATTCAACAGTACCCAATACAGCTGAATTTTTATGGTTAAATAGGTTTTCTTAATTCGACCGACTGTCAACCTGAGGTTTACCACTTCATTTCTAACTACTTCAACATAATTTCATTCTAATATTGTGTATGATCCACAGTTATTAAGAATATAAACTAATGTGATGATTTTTCTCAAAGCGGAAAAGGTAGGTAACTTTCAGTATATCAACATCATATATCGAAGTCAATAACCTGTCTATTATGATTTGAAATACAATAAACAATCTGTCATCATTAATACTTATTTCAGCACTAACAGAGAGTTACTGTCTATATAAAGTAATTATAAATATATTGGTTAGAACAATAATACAATCGTTTTTTCACTTAATTATCCCATACTCTCGATAAAAGTAAATATATACCTACCATTTTGTATAATCTAGAACAATAGACAGGAAGTTATGAAATTAAAAGTTGTCAAAAATAGTCAACAATATCTATCTATAATCTTACGAAAATTAATGGTTCTTCACAAGTTTAAATCTAAGCAATTCAAATCGGACTTGTGTAAAGACGTGAAAATGTTGCTTCAAAGGTCCACACCAATTGTAAATGGAACGTATAAAATTAAACGTTTGAAAATAGTGTTCCGCAGTACAAATATTTTGAATTCCTGTTGTTACTATGTGAAGAGTAGATCAAGGAGATTATAAGTCATGATTCAGAATTTGTAATATTCCTAGAAGTTCGCAAGTCTTTTTCAAATATCTATTTTTACCATATTACCAGTGTCTAGGAGACAATATATAAAGTGAATATAACTTGACGATATTACCGATTTGTCGTTCATATAGTTGCCGACTTACTAATTACTATGTTGCTGCTGAAACCAAAGGAAATCTACATAAATGCAATGAATTTTGACCATCAGTTGAATTCAGGACTCGCACTTCGATCCATTTAGGCTCGTCAGTTGAATGTTGAAAAGGTGATACAAAACGTTTCAAACAGTGATATAAATGTCATACCGCATATGCAAATGCATGGTTGTCTG